CCTAATGGGTATCTGTTGAAGAATTCTTATTTATGATCCAACCTCTAGCTACCCTCAATCAGACTTGGGGCTTTCCCCTGCTCCTCTGGGGTTCGTATAGTGGCACTGAAGCTCAGAGGGCTTATTGTGACATCATTTGGGTACCTTTTTCCTTCCCATTCATTTAGCTAATGCTTTCTTCCATCTATTCTACGGTCTAAGTGGGCTCCGAGCTGTGTGAATTTGAACTCAAGCCGTAACCAGGCTATTACTGCTGGGGACGTGTGACCAATGTTTTGAATACCTTTCGCAGTACCCAGCGATCCAGTTTGGATTAACTTAAATTCCAACATTTAGGTAAATGGATTCATTGTTGCCATATTTATTTTTACTTGAAATCTATTTTATAACGCATGAATCTTGGTTAACGAATACAAAAGGAATTTAATTATTGAAATATTTAAATATTGAAATATATATTTTAATATTCAGATTACCAAAATAGAGATATAGTTATCTAGTTTCCTCGTTTACACATTTGATTAACTTAATCTTTCTGTGGCTAATGGACAATGTCCGAGGCTAATTTTTTCTTCATTCACACACACACACCCACACACACACACACACACACACACACACACACACACACACACACACACACACACACACGCACGCACGAACGCACGCACGAACGCACGAACGCACGCACGCACGAACGCACGCACGCACGCACGCACGCACGAACGCACCCACACACACACACACACACACACGCTATTCAGAATTTAAATTTCGCTGATTTTCATAAACATAATATTAATCATGATATGTTTCAAACAATTGCGTAGCCACGGGTGGTTTTGGGGTCAGAACCCCCATCCTCCCCCCCCCCCCCCCCCCCCCGCGGAGGGTTCTTACGTTACCATTTCCGCTACAGTATTGGCGCTGAAACCCCCCCCCCCCCCATAGTTCTCAAAAACCCCTCCCATGAAAAAGAAAAATGGCTGGCTACGCCACTGGTTTCAAAGTACAACTTCTTCAGATGTACCTAATCTATATTTTGGTGCTTATTATTTTTACAACGTTAACAATGTGAGTCAAAATAGCTAAAGTAATTTAAAGTAAAGATATTTAGCTTAAAAACACATGAAATAAATAGATTTAAAAATTCCCATAATTTTTTAAATGAATAATTAGATACATCTATAATATTTTTACTAAATCTAACCTATTCTTAGTACTTATGCTGTGAGATAATCCCGGTAATGATAAAACCATATTGTTTCTCCAACGTAAAACATATTACATTCATAATTACTTTCATTATATTGACACTTATTGATAACTTTGTATATGTATCTAGAGATACTTATGATAATCTACCATAGTTTGATTTTTATCTAATGCAGATTTTGCCCTGTGGAGCGGGCGGATAGAATGGCTTCACCCGGGCATTTACCATCGGGGTGGTAGAAGCCTCCCTAATGGCCACTTTCCAAAAATGGGGCATCTAGAGACACGACTAGGCAACGTTATAACTTGAGAGACTGGCTATCCCTTGACACCTCCCAGCGACATCCAGCAGGTTTCCGATGAGTTAATAACCTGCAGGATTTTGACGAACTGAGAAGATGGCTGTCTCTAGACACCTCTCGGCGACAACCAGTAGGTTTTGAGAAGTTGAGAGGCAGGTTCTATATGCCCCTGGAGGATGCACAATGGACCTTACGAGGCCTAAGTGTCGTGGAGCAACCTACCTTACAGGTACAGATGTAAAGCGGATTATTCAATTTCCAATTCGACTCTGCCCAGTATTGTAACACTAAAGAGTCTAAAAAAAGCTTTAATCTGATATTTGTTTTAATTACCCTGTACATTATTGGTTTAGTATGGAATTTTACAGAGTTGCCTAATTACTTTCAAAATGTGTGAATCATCTTCACTAGTAGGTATATCAATTTTGATCAAGTTTTTTGTAGTTTCAAAATTCGAAATTAACTGATTGTTAAATCGTAACTAGCTATATACTACATACCTATAGCAAAAAAAACTCACTCTTCTAATACCACATCTTTCCCAATATCCGTCGCGGAATAATGTATTCAAGATAAAATATTCCAGTCTCATGTTCCCCTAAAGTGAGAACGTTACCCTATTATTAGAATCAGATGACCCCCTTTGCTTTGCCAGGCAATAGATTACGAAAAACCAGAAGCGATATCTTGCACTGTTCTTTACACCTTCTTTCGCCAGTCTTGTTAATTCAGCAGGTGCAAATTTTACGGTTGGTAATTGCCGGGGCACGCCCATCACAATGAGTCGAACGCAGCACAGTCACAGGTCCGCTCTGTATTATACACAGTAGTAACCTGAATCGGAACAGTGCAAGTTAAATTAGACCACAAAACAAAAATAACAAGCTGTATGGTATACGGACGGCTCAGGTGTGAGTTCGATCGTGAAGGCGTGGTCTAAGGTGGCTCCGCGCTGGGATCGGCAACACGCCTCTTCCCCCACCAGCGCCTTCAAAAACTAGTCTGGATATTTGCAAAACATCTACGATATATAGCTACTTAAGTAGGCCCTATTTAAAGTTGATATGATGATTGCTTAACATCTGAAACGGGTTTTGATGGAAGCGGTGAGAGCGTTTAGGTGATACGGTTTTGATAATGTGATTACGAGCTGTCAGGGGCGTTTCCGGTTCACGCACCCATATATTTATTATATCTATTTTCTAAACGTACTTATCGACTCTATGAATATGTGAATTTTGGAAAAATGTGCTTTTGAGCGTTTGATCTATAAATACCTGTTTGAAGTATCTAAATTAGTGTAAAAAATATTAGCTGGTTCCTATTTAATGTGGGCTGTGATTTTACCGTAAATAACGGTCTATGCGCAAATACGTCGGAAGTATCTTGAAAATGTGTTATATGTCGGTTTAAATCAGTAAATAATGGGCCCAGTGCCAGTTACCTTAAGTGTTTGACTTCATAAACCATATTTCTGTAACTTAGTTTAATTTTTAACTCCATTATCCAGATAAACAGAGCAGAAAGAGGTCCCCGACCCCACGTTGGGCGCCAAAAAAATTAAACATTTTTAACGTTAATCCATAATAATTATAGGAATGTAATTAACTTGAGTGATCGATTACTCATCCAAATTGTTGGATGACTCGGGACTTGTCCCAAATCGCACCTGTACGCTACATACATTTTTTGATATCTATAAATAAGGAAATAATTCCAACTCAAATGTGACCAGGACGTAAAATAAAAATAAAACTCATTTTTATTTTATTTTTGATATTATTTTCTGAAAAGAGCAAAATACAGCCAATATTTACATACCTATAATAAGCATATCCAATGTTTCCTCTAATTTTTTCGCTGACTGCGTGGTACAAAAGTGTAAAAGTGGGGAGAGTCCTGTATCTGAGTTTGAATTATTTTTTTATTAATAGATATCTACTTTTGAAATATACAGTTGGTTGCATATCTAATATCTATGGTTGTATACAAAATTCACACAACAACGAATTCTCCTCTCTCAACATAAAGCAAACCAAGCAAACGATCGATGATGTAGTCGATATAAACAATAGAGATTTCCTTTGACGATTAAATGTCAAAGGCCGATATCAAAAAAATTTTTTGACTCAATATTTTACTTTTTTGTAAAATTTAGATATTGGCCATTTTTGGATACAATTCTTTTATAAAATAAAATTAAGAATACTGGCGAACAAGTCACTGTGCGCAGAATACAAAAAAGGCTTAGGTATGCAGCCTATCTAATATTGGACCAGAAATTAATGGATGTTCAAAAAAAAGTTTTCTATGACTAGATCAAAAAAAAAAAAAAAATCAGTTTGAGCATCTTATTAATTGGTAGACTACATTTCTAAGTAATACGAGTAGGTACTAATAGGCAAAAATAGGGCAGAGTTGGTTTGGATCCAGCATAATCTGACTTACCTACCTGAGATCGAAAAAGGTAAGGAACCTACAAGGGGGTACATGTAAATTGGGTTCCGAGCAAATGGATGTTCAAATATAACCGCCCACCCATTTTTAATCAGATTTTTTCAAAACTGCAATAGGCTTTGTTCTTTTATAGAGCCTAATTTTCCTGAAAATTTCAAGTTGATATCGTTTTTCGTTTTTGATTTATTTTAATTTTAATCACAGTTGACCCATTTTAATTAAAATTTTTTCAAAATCAATAAACGTGGTTCCCTTATGGAGCTTGATTTTCCTGAAAATTTCAAGTTGATATAGTTTTTCCTTTATGATTTTTTTACAGCTTTAACCACCCCCCCGTGTTTAATCAGATTTTTCAAAATCTCTAGGCTTCGTCCCCTTACAGAGCTTGATTTTCCCAAAAATTTCAAGTTGATTTTTTGTTTTTGACTTATTATGCGGATAAAAACCTGACATCGGTTGGGCGGACATTTTTAAAAGTTGTTTAAAATTTGATGAGAAGGATTTTGGCACACCATTTTTTAAATTTGGATCAATAGGTATTAAAAATGTTGTTTTCTCGAAAGTAAACCTATAATACTCTTCACAGACTACTGTGTGAAGAGTACTTATAATAACTACATCAAATTTTGAACGTTTTGGCAAAAAGAAAATATGTTAAGTATACCTATTTGGTATCCAGAATTTTGCCAAACTGTATACTGTATATAGGTAGATTTGGTTTAGTTTTCCATATTTTCCAAATTATAAAATTTCAAATAAAAAACTTTAAAATATATTATCTTATTTTGTTTCTAATTTAAACTATTAAAATTTAATGAATATCTAGAAACCTACACAAATTAAAATTATTTAATGGAAAGGTATATATCTACTTGTAAGATAACATTTAGTTTACTTTTACAATAAAATATTCTAAATTCCAAAAATTATTAATGTATATTATATAACAAAAAAAAGCAGATTGTTTTCATAAAATTCAATAATTTTCATATCAGTTTTGTATGTCATCTATTTGTAAATACGTACCTATGTTTATTCTATTATTTAAAATGACTCGTCTTTCTGAAATAAAAATAAAGTGTATAGAAATATGTACATAATATTTACTAATTAATAAACAACTTGTAATTAATCGAAACATACTACGATTTATTTATTTAAAAGATAAACAGAAAAGACCGGTTCAACTCAAATACCTATAATGTTCTTAGGTATATTGGAAACAAAAACATATTCTAAACGAATAAGTCTCAAATTTAGATTTAATTCTGTTTCGTTTTTTTTTTTTTCGAAAGGCCGCATATATTGGTCAAATTGCAGCTACTTTGAATATTTTCGATATTTTTTAGTACTCCAAGGAGTCGAATTCAAAGGCATTCTCTTTTATTCTCTCAACTCTTTATGTTTGCTTTTCCAATCAGCATTTTTGATTGTACAGATGCGACAATGATTACATGAATAATAATCAGATAAAAATGACATCAAGTTTATTATTTAGAAGATACCTAGCTATTTGATGATCAGTGAACAATAAATTAACACAATTTTGTTTTATTTTTAAATTGGAATAATTAAAAACAATTGGTTATTTACAAAATTTTTAACATTTTATTGGAATTAACATTGTAGAGTTAAGCAGCAACTGTAGCTAAACAGCCATCAGAAAGAAACTACACTTCTTCTTTTTATAAACATGACAATACCACTAGTTGCCAATTAATATGCAGTTTATGTTATAGTCACGTTTGTGTAGTTTTTGAAAATATAAAAAAAATATATTTTGAAAACGATACACAAAACAGTTATTTCATGGGCAATAATGGGCAAACAATGGGCTATCTTCTCACAAATTTTTACACCATTTTTGCAATGTTGTGGTACCAAGTTCACTTACGTAATTTGGTCTACGTTTGATTAGAGAAAAGATTGTTTTCTCAACGATTGAAAATGTTTCGATAAATAAATAAATTTTTAACTATAGGTGGAGGAATTTCTGTGGGTCAAAATAATAAAGTCCTTTTAGACAGCTTTCATTTTCAAATTTCTTGTGAGCATCATTTATATTATTTATTTGTCACGGTTTATGGGTTTTCTTCATATTTTACTTTTGCTAGACCGCGGCCCGGTTCGACATTGATGAATATATCTTTTCGTCTTTATCAGTCATGATCTAAGTACTTAAGAAATATTTTTTGTGGATCACTCTTTTTAATAAGTGAGTAACTCTTGAGTAGAATCGATAAATAATGGTAATCTACTAGATATTTGTTTAATTAGGGTAAGTCCGGTAGAGCTGCCATAGTGGTAGAGATGCTGTTTTCTTAGAACCCGATTGTGCGCTGTTAGAATAAATTAGTCTGTGTTCTGTTGTTGACTAGGGGTGAGATTACAGAACGTCTGCAACTTTGCATCTGCAACTTTGCAAATATGGCGGACTTAACAAATGTAAGTATTCCAAAAAATATCTGCAAATTCGCAATATTTATTGTGGTTTATTACCCCCAACAACACTAAACCCAAATTTGGAATACGAAAACTTGATACTTGCATGTGTAAGTCAGTCATATTTGCAGATTTTCAAAGTTGCCGCCATATTTGCCGATCTGCAAAGTTGCAGACGTTCTGTAATCTCACCCTAGAGCGGTACGCTAGTCACGTGTAAAGCGAAAAAAGTGAACATCACTAATTAAAGGTTATATCAATTTTAAAGTTTTGAGTGCATCGAAAATTTTATCGCGACATAATGGTCACACTATAAGTATGCCATAATTTATTGGGATTATTTGCGAATCGATTATGTTAATTAAAAGTACACTATTTGAGGTTATATTGAAGTACGTTTGGCTAGCGGCAACTAAAAAACAATCTTCTTGGAAAATGTGACATCTCTACCTTATAAACGGTAGAGATGCCTAAACATATTCGGTAGAGATACCAATATTATTTTTGCATATTTTTTGCAGATATGCCTTCCTTTTACAAAAGAAAATCTGCCTCCCGTGGAAATTGGTTAGAGGCCGACTTAAAGTTGGCAGTTGCAGCTGTTAGTAATGGAACGAGAGTTGGCGAGGCGTCGAGAATGTACAATATTCCTGTTAGAACCTTAAAAAGAAGGATTGAAAATAATAATGTAACTAAAGGAAGAATGGGTCCTGCGAGCACGCTTGGTGACGAAGCCGAAAAGAAGATGGTAGCTCATATAAAGAAGCTTCAGAGGTTTGGTTTTTCTCCTAATATGGATGATGTGAGGGAAATGGCATTTAAACTAGCTAAAAAGCGGGGTATGACTGGCTAAAGTCATTTTTAAGAAGAAATCCGGAACTATCAATAAGAAAAGTGGAGGGATTATCAAGAAGTAGAATGTTGTGAATGACAAAGGCGGCTGTAAAGAATTATTTTGATTTATTGCATCAAGTATTGCAAGAAAATGATTTATTCGATAAACCAAGTTCTATTTACAATGTAGACGAGACTGGTCTACAACTTAATACTAAACCATTATTGGTTATAGCTGAATAAGGTTCCAAGGTTGTAACAACCCCGACGCCTCAAGAAAAAGGTGAAACTATAACAGTTGTGCCTTGCTGCAATGCAGGTTTATTTTTACCTCCCGCCTGCATATTTAAAGGTGTTAATAAGAAACCTGAATTTCTAAATGATATGTCACCAGGATCCGTTGTTTATGTGTCAAAAAAGTTGGCTTACATAAACGCAGAATTGTTTCATCGTTGGCGCATTTATTACCTAGAAAGTCTCAAGGAAAATGCCTCTTGATTTTGGACGGTCATACTTCACATACAAACGCAATAGATGTATTGACATTTGCAGAAGAGAATGGGCATAATTCTGATTTGCTTGCCACCTCACACCACACACTATCTTCAGCCTTTAGACAGAGCGGTCTTCAAATCTCTAAAATCGGCTTATTACCAATCCTTTTTTTTTTTTTTTTGTAAAAGCAAGTAAAGATAGGAAACTTACCAGGCTCAATTTCGGCAAACTTTTAAACGAGGCATGGGGAAAAGCGGCGTCTGTACATAATGTGGTATCTGTTTTCCGATCTACAGGAATCTATCCTTATGATCCGAGCCAAATACTAGATTATGTATTTACCCAATTAGAGACTGAAAGTCAAGCTAATCGTATGGAAAACGAACAGGAAGCAGCGTCAAATGTTGCTACAACTTCAGCCACTGATGAGTCACATCCTAGTTCAGCAGATCAAACTGGTGAAAATAATACTCAAGATAATAACATGCCAGGAAAGTTGCTTAACATTACAGCGCCATTATTTGAAGCTATCAGCAATGTTAAAAGTAGAGGAGGTAAAGTGGGTCAACTTCTGACATCACCTGAAAATTTAGAAAGAGTTAAGAAACTTGAAACAAGCAGGAAAGAATAAAGCAGAGGCAATCAACAATAAAGAAAACAAGCCCGTAAAGAAAGCAAAGATTTCTATTTCAGAAAATGAAGCAGGCCCTTCTTTTATCAATTCCAAAACAAAGGTGATAGGAAAACCAAAAATATAAGGGAGAGTAATTATTCAAGTGACACCTCAGATGACTTTTCAACACACGAGAGTAATTCTTTTTTTGGTCAAGATGAAGATGACGAATGCGTGGGCTGTGGAGAGCCGTGGAGTCTAACTAAGAAAAAAGACGATTGGATCCAGTGCATCCATTGTAACCGGTGGTTGCATGAGGGATGCACTGGATTCAGGAACATTTGCCAGCGATGTGGAAAGCTGTAAACTATAAAAAAGTAGACAGTTATAATCATTGGTATCTGTACCGCCACAGATGGGCATCTCACCCAGACAATATGGGAGAGATGCCAAACTGAATTATTTTTAAATTTACAATGTACCTTTTTCTATAAGAATTATCATTTTTTTACGCTAATGTATCCTTTAGTTATGTTGTTTGGTGTTAACATTAATAAATTTAAATAAATATAACGAAAAATATTTTTTTTATTTAAACATTTAAAAAAGATTGGCATCTCTACCGGACTTACCCTATAGAGAAACCTTAAATTTTAAGAAAATTATCACAAAGAAATTCAATAATAAATGTTAAGTTGTTTAGGGCAAATGTTTGAGTGAAGAATTTCCGTTCAAAAGGTCTGGGTTTTAAATATTGGCTAATATCAATTTTTTTTTAATTATTTTTAAAATGATTATTTTATCTTAACCACGAAATAATTTTTTTTAAATTTTCTAGATTTTTTAGTGGGTGGTAGAAAAAATATACTGTACAACTCGAGTCGATTATCTGTATTTAAAATTGTCAATGTACCTAAAATGTATTAGAATTATTTTAGGATTCTTTGATCGACTGCGTAGCTCACAAATACCATTTATATCCAGTAGGTCTCTACGCCAATGGTAAAACCTCAGCTCAGTTTCAACCACAATAAAAAAGCTGGTGAATTCTCCGTCCCCACTTTTCTAACCGTTGTTATCTAAGTACCATCAATCATTACAAATTTTAATATCGCCAGAACATATTATACGAGTAAATTCCACACAATATGGTGACAGCTTGTTATTTTTCATGTTTACTGTATACGCACTCTGCCCTGGTGTGGTCATTCATTGTTTGAATATCCATTCATGCTAGTTTTTGACTTCTCGAGATATTTTATAGAGCATAAAAATATAATAATTAGATTAATAATCATTTATACACGTACACATATTTATACCTTTATCTTATTTAGACGTTTTAGTTTAAAAATAGTGTGCAATTAATATAGTAGGTACCTATATTACATTAAAACTGCAGAAAGGGACATTTTCCACACAATTGGGCTTCATAGCTCAGATTGTTAAACGTTATGGCTTTGAATTTTGCAATCAGGTTTTAATTATCGATAAAAGCAATCTTTTTATTAAAAAAAATAGGAAAATTAAAAAACTACATACTATGTAGTTTTGTTTATTTGTTTCGACTTTTAATATAGACAATATAAATCAAAATAGAAATAATACATCTCACATTTACAGGGCCGACAAGAGGGGGGGTAGCCGGGACTAATTCCCGGGGCCCGGGGGGGCCCGG